GCATGGAGCGCCCGGCCTTGGGTCATCTCATTGCTTTTCTCTCTCTTCGTCCTCTTTCAAGCTCTTCTCCAAGTCCTTTGGAGGACTTTGCCAACAGTTAGGCAAAGGGATTTAGTTCTCTCCGTCCCAGGCCTAAAGTTCTCAGACCCACCTTTGCAAAGTCCAGGGGCACCACGGCTCTTAGAGGCTGGAGAGGCTTTCTTGGCCATTAGCAGCACGAAGAACCAGCAGGGACCTGGTGGTTACCTTTACCAGGAAGCACCCTCTTTATTAGGTACTTGTGGTTTTCAACAGCATTTCCCCCCTTCCTTTAGATTATCTCTGATAGAAGTTTCTTTGAGGCAAACAACCTGTAACATTTTATGCCATTCATTCATTCATTCAACACATATTTATTAAGCAAGGTCAGTGTGCTGAGTGCAGATGCTGGAGGAAACTACAGATGTGCTTGTTTCTAGAAGCCTGCTGATGGATTGATTGCTCACCTCACCCGTGCATTGTAGCACCGGTGATTACTAATGCTCTTGGTATATCCTGATACAGTCAAACAGAAACTCACAAGATGTTTTTGAGAGGTGTATTCTTCACCATGCAAAGGGATTCACTGTAGGATTAAATAAATCCAGAGAATTTTACAATTTGAAGGGACCTCGGGGACCAGCTCATTCAATCCCTTCATTAGGCAGCAGTGGAAGGTGAGATTTAAAAAGCTGAAGAGACTCACAGTAATTCAGCAAATGCTAAAGCCAGAGGGTCACATCCAGCACTGCTTTTACATTCCTGGGACCGGTCACTTTCCATCATGCTGTGCCCAATGCAGATACTCTGATGAGGATGATAACGATAACATTTTTTGAGCAGCAGACACTGTTTTAAGTGTTTTTCATGTTACAACATTGTTCTCACAGCAATCTCATTTAATACCACTGAGAGTGCCGAGGCCCAGAGAGGTTAAGCATTTTGTGCAAGGTCACACAGCTCAGAAGTACTGGCGTGAGGGTTCTAATCCAGGCCACCTGGCTCCTGAGCCCAGGCTCTGAACTGTATCACTCCAAGACTTCTCTACAGAGAGGTACTAACCAGAAGCCCCTGCAGAGAAATGTGTTTCCACCCACTTATTTAAAGGAAGGTACTTCTGTATTGAATGTAATTTCAGCGCTATGTAAACCAAAGTCTGGTATTAGACCTTCTTGCAGATCTTTTAAGGTATGAAGTGCTAGGTACAGAACCTCCATTAAAATTTGTACAGCGTTGCTGTTAAAATAGCATGAAAAGCAGTTCCTATGATGCATGTGACAGTAAGCAGAATTGTGATCTAAGCAACAGGTGAATTGGGACAGTGGCCCCGGCGCGGCTGCAAACACGTGCAGACTTTACAGAATGAGGTGTTTGGAAATAAACCCATTCAAACCCCAAGTGCGTGCAGTCTTCTTGCAAAGTGATAATATTTAGGGGACTGCTTACCAAAAAACCAAGTCTCTCTTAGCAGGGATTGAATGAAATACTGTGATATTAATGAATTAAGCTCAGGCACGTTCTGCTGGTCCCCAAAATGCTTTTTTCATTTAATTTTTTATATTACAGTTGGCCTACAATGTTGTGTTAGTTTCATGTGTACAGCAAAATGATTCAGTTATACAGATACATATATCCATTCTTTTGGGAATTCTTTTCCCATATAGGTAGGTTATTATAGATTATTGAGTAGAGTTCCCTGTGCTGTACAGTAGGTCCTTGTGGATTATCTATTTTATATATAGTAGTGTGTGTATGTTAATCCCAAACTCCTGACTTATCCCTCCCCCTCAAAAATCTTCTAATTGGAGTCTTAGAGTTGACTTTTTTTTCCCCATGTGCTTTATTAAGTAGGAAGCCCCAGTAACGCCCAGAATCTAAAACAAATATGAGTTAGTTCTCTAGTTAGCTTTCTTCCCTTGAAGCTGTTATCAAAATTAACCCCAGGGAGTATAAACTTTAATGCATCCATCTCAGCAATACCTCCCCTGATCTTGGGAAGCCGTAGAAAAGAGAACATTATGAACCTTGCAGGGACTCTGAAGTTTTATCAATTATCACAAGCAGCGTGAGTCCAGAGTCATTGAAATCATCTTGGGGAGGGGAGGGTGAGAAACGTACTTATTTGCAACGGAGCATTATTGGCTGAGAACAAATGTGTTGCTATTTGTTTTCTCTGTTCATCCGTAATGATTACAGGCTGGCGTTGGTGTTTAGCGACAGGATCCAGCAGGTCAGTTATGACAACTTCATCACTGTCATTAGCGCCTTTTGTTTGCAGTGAACACGAAAAGCTGTTCAGCATTAAGGGAAAGAAGGGGTGGTGGGGAATGCATGGAGAAAGTGAGAGGGTAAAGGAGAAAGCCAAGCATCCCAAATTCACACGCTAGGAAGACCAAAGAAGGACACCCTGGGTGCTCTGGTCACACTGACTTCACTGGGGGAGGGGCCTCAGTTAGGGGACCCAATTTTGGACTCTATGTTCTTTTTACTAGATGAGTCACTTCTTGTGTCTGTAAAGGCTAGTCTTTTATTTTTTTTTTGCCAGTTTGGGTTCCTAGAAATGCACTAAGGAGATAACCTTTCGGTAAGGGATCTTTCTGCTTCTAGGGTGGTATCTGTGAATCAGTATCTTCTCCAGCGGGCGAGGGTAAAATGAAGCAAAATACATAGAGGAAATGCAGTGACCTTTGTTGGGGACCTACTGGGTATCAGGCAAGGTGCATTTTTATGAGTATTATCTCCGTTGTCTTCTCAACAACACTGGGGTCCAGTGGCTTCATTCCCACAGTACCGATGAGAACAATAAAGCACGGAGAGGTAATACGTTACCTCTAAGATCACCCAGCTAGTCAGAGCAGAGCAGGGATTTGAATTCAGGTGTGTCTCTTGTTGCAAACTTAGTACTCCATGCTGCAACCCACCCCCTTCCTCCCGCAAAAAAGAAAGAAAAAAAACCCCACTACCAAACAAATTTCTTAACTGAGTTCAAAGAGGAAAGGTTAAAAATCTCAGTATTCGGAAGACCGTGAAAATGTAGGCAGAAACATGTATTTATTTGACGATCTGATCATGTGAAAGCTCGGATGATAAAAAGACATATTGAAAGAAATTGTACTAATTAAATCATAGAAACGCATTATGCTTTTTTGGGAACTCACCCCTCCTCCTGGGGTGACCCTTGACAAGACATTCTGTGTTCCTGTTTTTTTGGCCAAAAGAAAGTGAGTGGAAGATGAAAGTTTGATATTTGCCTCATGCAAATCTTCGTCTCATTGGTGAATTTTGTGCCCCCTTGTCATTTTGGCTTTCTGCTGCCTGACCAAGCTCCTTTGATTCACGTGCCTACTTCTTACACCCCTCTTGTTCTTTTCTGGACAACTTCACTGAATATTGTGCCTTAGGTCTTGAGAAGCATCTGGTAAAACTGGCCAATTGTGATGGGAGGCAGACAGGGAAAAAGGTGGGGCGGGGGTGGCTCGGCGGGAAAGGGAGAGAACAAAACAGGGCAGGGTTCTTGTGATGACCAAATCAGGCTGCTTCTGCTGTGACATTACATTTAATGTCCAAAATTTGACCTTAACCATTTCTGATGAACTCTGTTGACCATGTAAGCTACTGACAGAACATTCACCCAAATCCTAGCGAAGTTGAGGTTCCTGGTGCAATGTGACCTATGTGGATGAATTTAAAGGATTTTTGTTTTTAACCGATTAATTCTCAGCTCAAGTCTTTTTAAGACTTCCTGGATGCCCTTAACATCACTCCGGCCAGAGTGATGCGTTCTGAACGTGCACTTGTGCGTACCGCTGTGAAAAAATAAGAAGTAAATGAAAACCCCAGGCCCACGTGGGGACTGGTGACACCAGACACCAAGACTGAGGATCAGGAAGCTGGAAATTCCCTCCTGCCTTGGTGTTTGGCCTCCGGCTTTTCCACTTCCCTATATCACCCTTGTGGTGGGTCTGTGCGCACAGCAGGGCTCCCCTAATTTGATGGTAAAAACCACAAGAGCCAGAATACTAGTTCTAGTTCTCAGCGACCACTTAAACATCCAAACCCAAACCTTTGCGTGCAAGGGCGCGGTGACCACCTTGGGCAGACAGCTCCTCTACCAGTGGGCTCCAAAGGGCAGGTCCGCTCCCACGAGGGAGCTCTCACCCCACTTTGCCATGATTAGCTTGAGACAAGCAACCTTCTCCAGCTGTTAGGTTTCTCTTTGCTGAGTTTACAGGGGGGTGGGGGGGGTGGAGGGGTCAGGACTGAGGCTTAGGGGCTGGGCCGCGGGGCGCTGTTCACGGGTGACGCGGACCACGGGCTTCAGCATCACCTGGGCACACAGGTGGGGCACGCGCATTTCTGGGGCCGCCCCAGACCTCCTGGAGCATGCTGATGGCCACTGTCCAGTTTGAGACACTGGCACAGAGACCTCCCCGCTGTCCCTTGGGTGGTGGGCGTTGGGTCCGGGGCGTCCCCTGCTCGCAGGGGTCCCGGAGGAGAGGGGGTCGTGAGAGCGCAGCGAGTAGCGGGCGGGAAGTCGGGAGCAGGAGGAGGAGAGGAAGTCCCCCATGGCCACCCCGACGGGAGGGCGGGACGGTGCCCGCAGGGACTGGGTCGGCCGGCGAAGACGGGTCCGGGCCTGGCCGCTCCGCTCGGGCGCACAGGAGGACTGGCCGCAGGGCGCGCGCTCCCCGCCGACTCTCGCGGAAGAGGCGGGGGCGGCGGCGCGTGCGCGGGGCGGCGGGCGGCGGGCGGCGGGCGGCGCGCGGGGGCGGGGCGGGCGCGAGGCTGAG